CACCTCATGGGACTGGCTTCTGGTGGGAGTCAGAGGCACAGAGGGTCTGGGCCTGAGCAAGCCATGCCTCTGTCCCTGCAGTGCCCACTATGTTTGGTAATTCCCCTGGGGACAGACTGCCCCCTGCCTTGGCTGAAAGCGTCTGTGCCTCTCTCGCCGAGCACTTGTTTTTCTCCCGGGCATGACGGTCGTTTCTACCCATGCTTTAAGGCCTTTCCGGAGGCACAAAGGGGCCTGAGCAGAGTCATGTGGGTGACTTCTGAGCCCTTAGAAATGAAGCCACGTGAAAACACAATAGAGCACATTTGCAGACAAACCCAAGCTGCTCCTCCTTGGGCCTCAAGGTGCAGCATCGCGAAGGGGAATCTCGTTTTTTTTTTGTGCCCTGTCACAGCATGTATGGGTAAGAAGAGCTCAGTCCAAGAGCAGAAAATCATCAAGGGTCTAAACGGAGGGGCACCTTTGGAGCCCAAATTCTTGTCAAAGAGCCCTTGCTATTGTCCTGTGACCTCCTACTTTGCCCTGTTTCCACTATCAGGCTGACAAGGGTCACAAGAGCCTGGGAGCAGTGGTTGGAGGGCACTCTGGGGTCTGCACCTGGGGCCCGGAGCTTGGCTTGGTGACTGACCACCTGGGGAACCTTGTCACTAGTCACAATCCGTACCTCTGGTGCAGGCTGGTGGCTGTTCACCTTAATCTTCCTTTGTCTCCACAGTAATGAAACCTTGACTGGGGACACACTGCCCGGTTACCCATCTCCCAGCTCTCCTTGGTTGGGTGTGGTCCTATGGCAGGGGTCCAGTGGGCTAGGAGAAGTGATGTGGGTGGTTCTGGGTGTGGGATTTACAACAGTGGGCACTCGGTCCTCCTTCCTGCTTGGCTGTGTGTGGTGACCACATAGACGATGATCAGGTCCTAGGGGAGGGCAGGGCAAGCGTGATGGAAGGGTCTGGAAGGGTCTCCAAACTGGCTGCAGTTTGGAGGAAATACTGATGTCTAGGCCCTCATGGTCACCTGCCTCCCTGGTGATCCTAACGTGCAGCCACTGTGGGAAGTGCCCGTCACCATGGTCTTAGACGTCAAGCTAAAGAACAGGAGGGACTATTTTGAGAGCAACAGGGAGCTTCTGTTTTGTTTGTTTCTTTGTTTGAAGGAAAGGACATAATCAGATTTTTCTTTGTCCAGAAATTTACTCAAGCTGCTGCACGCAGAAGGGAAAGTGATGGGGAGACTGGGGTTAGAGAAAGGGGTTCAGAAGGCTGCTGCCATGGTCCAGGTGAGAAAAGGACCCAGTGGTGACATGGGAGTGGCCTGGTTCATGTTGGGCTGGATGGGGGACAGGGAAGAAGTGGGAGGACACAAGGTCAGAAGCAGTGAGAAGATTCCTGCTATAGATACAGACTCAGGAATCAGCAGCAGAGGGAGCATGGACGGGCTCTCCTGGGAAGACGGGAGAAGACAAGGGGGTCCCGGAATGGAGCCCAGGAGATGGAGGGAGGGGAGTGCCTGCAACAGGCTGAGCAGGGCTGGACAGAGAAAAGCAAGCACAGGCACTGTCATAGGTAAGGGTGCAGCTGCTACAGGAGAGTGTGGGATTCTGCAGAGAGGTGGCCACCTGTCATTGAAGAGCTTCAGTGAAGACGGTTGGAGACCTGGAGAGGTGGGGGTGAAGTGCTGGTGAGAGCGGGCACCACCAAAGAGGGGGAACAATTCTTTGTCCTATTCATTTACTCCATAAACTGGTTCCTAAGGACCTAGTGGGCTGGGCCCTGTAGGCTGTGGATAAAATGTCAAGTCCCTAAGGCCCTTAATCCCAAGGAGGAGACAGATACTCTCGCTCATATCACAAAATCACACGATAGAAATGCTGTGATGGAGAGTCCCAGCAGGACCAACGATAGGGAGAAGCACAGGGCCGGCAGGGAAGGTCTGAGAAAGCCAGGAAGGGAGCCAAGGTCCATCTGGACACGGGATCACTGGGGCTGCCCGTTGCAGAGTTCAGGTCTCAGCAGCAGGGGAAGGATGACACTCTGGGACCTCCTCAGGCCACGTGACTAGCCATGGCCCAGGAGTGGTGAGCATGCCGCCTGCTGACCAGAGCACTCGATGGCCAGCACCAGAGACGGCAGAGGTCTCTCTGCCTTCTGGCGTGGCAGGTAACAATGTTTGAGACTGTGGCTGCCCCCAGGGACCCGAGTGACCCTTCTTAAGACATACTTCCTTTTGACAGACCAGAAGCACCAGCCAGAAACAAATGTTTGTGGTTTTATTTTGTTTCAGTCACCATAGCATAACCTAGCCCAGTGGTTCTCAAAGTGTGGTCCCTGGACCAGCTTTCACTTGGGAATGTGCTAGAAATGCAAATTCTCAGGTACTACCGTGAGTTCACTGAAGCAGAAACTCTAGGGTGGAGCTCAGCAGTGTGAGTTTTAACAAAAATTCTAGAGGATTCAGAGACACATTCAGCTGAGAAGTGCCGCCTAGTCAATACGGATTGATACAGTCATCTTAAGAGTGGGAGGAATGACAAGTTATGGAGAAGGTCATTCTAGCAAACATTAAAAATCTGAGTAAGATACTAATTAGCGAGGCTCATCAAGTCATAGAAAATGATTTTTAAGGGGAAAAAAAATCATCATACTCATCCCCCACGGATTGAACCATCCTATCAAAATGGCTAAAACCGGCTCTTTCTTACAGTGTCAACTCAGAAGAAAACACTCTGTTGCAGAAAGAGACACTCTGCATCCAACAGCTTTGAAGTCAGGGCCCAAGAGGAACTGAGGAATGCACTTTCCATCCGTGCCCATGACTTTGCCGTTTTAGAAAATGCCTCCTGAATTCTTTGAATCTCAAAAATACATAAAACCCAATTCTCTCATCCGTAGGGTGAGTCATTAGTGCTGTAGCTGAGGCTCTTTGGTAATGGGCACTATTTAAATGAGGCAAAAAGTACAATTTGAAACAAATTGCTTTTTAAACTGTCAAATAAAAGGAATCCATTTGTGCATGTGAAATTACTCCAAGGGTTCTAACTCTTAACTGAGAGCCGGTGAAAAATGTCAAAGAGAAGAAACGTTCTGTTAAAGAGTTGGCTAAGTGTTTTCACCTAGGGACTCCTGTGACCCATTGCGGATTCAAAACCTTTCTATTTTCATCAGTCTTAGGTAAGCTCCATGGACACAAGTTTTATGAAAATATGAAATCCTGGAAACAACTTTCCATTTTCCTCATTGGCATTGCTTTGACCAGTGTGACCAAAATTCTGTCTTATATAGGACGACCGTGTGTTCTCAAACTTTTTCCTTTAGTTTAAATTTGATGCCAAGGGCCCTTATCAAGTAGCTTTCCAAATAACATGCTTTCTGGCCTTCTATTTGTTATTAATGAATGCATACTTGGAAGTTCTGGTCAGTGAAAAGAAAATTCTGCAAAGGTATGAAAAGATGCCTCTTCAGTTGCTGCTGGGCTTGGTAGAGTCACTACACTGGAGGGTGGGCCTCATTGTGGAGGCATTTCTACAGACCAGAAGAGAACCCTGGGCCATTCCACCCAAGGCCAACCCTGGCCTTTTCCATTTTGTGTCCTCGGTTTCCATTGCAATTAGTTTTGTGTTCAGACCTTCAGTATCTTTGTTGATATTGAGATGAAGCTGCTCAAAATAATTAGTGTAACTTCTCCCTCCCTCTCCTCCAGGGCACCTCTGGCCTGCAGCCCTGTGCCAGGCTAACATGCATAAAACAACCTTGCTTACTCAGTCCAAAGGGAACCTGGCAGGTGGTGGCCCATCCCTGGCATTGGGACAGGTTCAAAGAGGGAACTCATCTCACACTTGATTGTGCACACAAATCCCCAGGGATCTTCTTTAAAATGCACATTCTAACTGAGTAGGTCTGGGGTAGATCTACTGAGTCCTCCTATCTCACAAGTGTCCAGCCAATCACGGGGGCCATACTGCACATCCACAGAAGGGTGACTTTTAGATTCACAACTTCTGGGGGTTTTATCTAGGGGTCTGGCTCCCTTTTGGTTCCTGGAAAGCCGGGACTGGACTTTCTTACACCTTTTCTTGCTTTGTTCCCTGGCTGGCACTTGGCACAGGGCCCACACACAATGGGTATGTATTTATTTAATTAAACAGAGTTGGTCTTGTTCCAAAAAGGATTTTAAGTGGACTTAACTCCTGGCAGGCCCTAAATTTGTACGTGATAAATTGGCCAAGGAAGAAGTCAGAACTAGAGGTCCCTTTCCCAGGACTGCACCTGGACTATACACCTCCCTGCTTTTCTGAAAATGTCTCTCCTAACCCATTTTTAAAGCTGTTTACAGTAGAGGATTGATCTGAGAAGAGGAGGAAAAACAAAACCAGAAAGTCTTGCGGAGCCATTAGGCTCTGGAACATCAAAAGCTCAACTCCGGATGGCTGAGCTGCAGGACTCTCCAGGTTCTCAGGTTCTCTGTCTGCCTACTCTCCAGCGTTTTGCTGGTTGGTGGGGCGCCTCCTTACCCAGGTCCCCGGCTAGCAGCGGCCAGCGAAAGCCCTGCAGGAGCTGGTCCCTGAGGGTTCGGGCGCCTG